TTAAGTATCTTGTGACCTTTGGTGATTTCTTTAACCTGAGCCTCAGTTTCCTCATCTGAAAAATGAAGGAGTTGGACTAGAATGCCTATAAGGCCCTTCTCTCTCTAGGTGGATTGATCCTAGGAGTCACACTCAGAGTTTGCTGACTAACCTCAGAACAAGTTTGATAGAGGAGAAGGGCCCTAGAGCCACAGAAGTTAGGGGAAACTACAGAAGATAAGCAGAAACCCAAGATGCAAGGGACAGAAATCTAAAAGAAATTTCTTGGACTTGACAGTATTATTGAGCATCAATTCAGTTCCACATGGTCCCACTAGAGAGAGATCCACCTTTCCCATTCCCTTCTATTAGAGTGCTGGATTCGCTGCCTTCTAGAACTTTATCCATTCTCTCCAGCATAGCCTAGAGGAGAACTGATTTCTCAAGAGAGAGAGAAGCAGGGTGCATGCCTGATGGCCTGACTTCCTTGGAATGGACCCCCACTGTTTTGGTGGAAACGATAAAACATTCAGGCTTTTGGGTAACCATCATCATGAAATATTAATTCAGCAGCAATTTCTACATGTACAGAGAAAGCCAGACATATGTAACCCCCACTCTCTGGGAATTTATCATCCAAGATGGATGCATAGACACAGACTGAAAGGCACAAGTGATTGGTAGTAATCACAACTGAAAACCATAGACCAGAGATCAGAAAATTTGAGTACAAGATCTAGCTCTGACACATAATAATGCCATTGTGACTTTGGGCAAGTCACTTAACTGACATTGGTCTCAGTTTGCTTATCTGTAAAATGGATAGACCCCCTCTATCTACTTCACAGAGAGTGTTGGTGAGGATCCAATGAGATAAAGCATGTGAAAAGAGCTTTTTAATAGTGAAACATTACAGAAAAGTGACCTGGAATTCTGTCTGCATGATACTTGAAGAATTCTTCATGTGGCTTAAATCATATGATACATTTTTTCTGTAAAGCAGGTACAGTGGATTTTATTGTACCCATTTTGCAGATGAGGAAACTGAGACACAGGGATATTAAATCATTTGCCAAAGACCACTCAGCAAATCAATGAAAAAGCAAGAATCAGAACCCACATCCCATGACTCCCAGCTCAGGATTCTTCTTTGCAACACACCTCCTCCAGAAGATGTAATATTTACAAAGATCTTTGATTTCATCAATGTGGGTGCTTCTTCCACTGATACCTTAGTAGAGAATTTCATGAGTTGCTATGACTAGAAAAAAAATGCATCACCTGGTAGCTGGCCCTGTGGTTCTAAGTCTCTACAAATGTGGCTAAGCTGACATACACAGTGTCTGCCATGGAGTTCTGAACTTGAAGTCTTTGCAGCTTGGTGGAGCCTGCCAGGATGTGTGCTTTTTTGCTTAGCCTCCAAGAGTCCAGAACCACTTCTCCACCACAATTTGAAGGCAGATGAGGACTTTGGCAGAGAATGAAAGAGGCTTAATTATTGACTTATGCAAACCAGGGGCCATTAAAGAGTCCTGACTTTGGATGGAATACAGTCTTAGCAAACTGTTTGCATATGAGTTGACATGGCCCAGCAGTGAGTGCAGAATTCCTGAGCCCTTGAATTTCAAGCCCAGTATTGCCTTATGACATTGATCTCACCCCTTTCCCTTTCTACACTTCTGTTCTCTCAACTGTGTAAAACTAATCTCTGTTTTCACCTCTGTTCATTGATGATTGATGGTGACCATGTTGACAAAAGTGTTCTTCAGGGAAATACCTTTAAAAAGTCCAGGTTTGCCTCTCTTAATGAAGTGAAATGTTACTGGGCAAGTGTATGTAAACTGAATTCTCTTTTCCCTGCTATCTCAGAAAGGCCTCCTTTTCATTTCCAATGGATGAGAATTCCTAATTCTCTGTATTGGAATATCTCCACCCTTTTTGCCCCCAGTTCCTCCGTCAGTTTCTTATCCATCCATAAACAAACACTTTAAAGCAGAAGAAAAGTTGCTATTTAAAGGAACCTTGGGGAAACATTTTCATAAACTGAAGAGTACTTTTGCAAAGCAAAAAAAAAATTTAAAAACACACTGAAATGTCCTCATTTCATAAAATTGGAATTTTCACATAAAGGATTTGCTTGCTTATATAAACACATGTATGCACACACATGCACGCATGCACACACACACACACACACACACAAATGTGCCAGTTTTCATGATTCCATATACTCTGGCCCTAATTTCAGGACAGTTGGCAGCTCTCTATGGCTGATGCTAAGATGTTGCCTGCAGAGATGGAATCAGGGAAACTGGCTGAGCACCCAGTAACTGACCCCTCCTCCTCTTCAGCACTGGAAACGACACTGAAAGTATTCTCTCCCTCCATTGAAAGCTCTTGGATTTTCCATATCGTGTCTTATCCTTGGTCTGTCTGAGGTCTGTTGTATCTATCTTTGTGTCTGAATGTCTAACTCACTTTTTCCTTCCTCTCTTGCCTCCCTCCCTCTTTTACATTTCTATGTATTGGGTGTCTTTCTGTGACCATTGTTGGGACTTCACTTGTCACTGGTGACCAGCCTGTTGGGCAGTGACTGGCCTGTGTCCATACGAAATCCTACTTTCTGTTGTATTTGTATGAGCCATACCCTGAGACCTTTTAGCAAGGGACCCTCAACACAGAAAGCACCGCTCTTTTATTGCTTTCCAAATAACATCTAGTTATTTGTTCTCTCAACAAATAATACAATTGATGGAGGAGGGAGAGAGGGAGAGAGGGAGGAAGAGGAAAGTCTGACTAACCAGTTTAGCACATAGGCTTCATAGGGGATTTTCACTGAATATTAAGGATAGAAGTGAGTCCATCTAAACCATCCCTTCATTAACAGAGGCCAGGTAACCTGCCCAAGGCCACACAAGGAGTAAGTGGTAGAAGCAGGATTTGAGCTCGGCATTCTGACTCCAAATCTGGTGCTCTTTCACTGTGTTACCCATTTTTAGAAGGTCAGATAGCCAAGAAGATCATCATACCCACTTCGGTTTTCCACACACCACCACCACCCATGACCAGTTTTATTCTCCTGAGCACTGGTGCTGAGCCCCAAGGACTAACAGAAGTTCGTTAGACCACTGGGGTTGGCTGATTCTCCTCTCTCAGGAACATTCATTTTTGGTTCCTTTTATTGCAACATTGTATCTGTGTCACTTTTTCCACCCTGATACCCTATCTGTTTGACTTCCATGGTTGAAGACTATTCCTGTAACAACATTGTATCTATTTCACCACATCCTTTTCTGCTCCCTCTAATTATAACACTTGTCTTGTAGCTTCTACCCTGTTTTGAATGGATCTGTTAAGAATCTTTCTGGGCTGGCTTTTAAAGGACCCATTCAGTTGAATCAACAACATTTATTAAACACCTGCTGTATATGGAGCAGTGTGCTACATGCAAGGGATTACACCCCCATGGTATAATGGATAGTGCTGGATTAAGAATCAGGAACCCTGGGGTTCAATCCTGTGTATTTTCAGTGTTTTCTTCCAGTTACACACACACACACACACTTATTTTATTTCTGTGTCTCAGGTTTATCTCTAAAACAAGAATAAAAATAGTGCCCACTTCATAGGGTTGTTGTGAGTATCAAAAGGGTTAATGTATGATTAAAAGATAAAAGACTCCAAAGACATCCTTTGGCTCTCTGCAAGATGGAAGCAGCAGCTAGGGGGTGACACAGTGCACAGAGCACCAGACTGAAAAACCTGAGTTCAATTCTAGTCTCTCAGGTAGTTACAAGCTATGTGACCCTGGGCAAGTCACTTAACCTCTGTTTGTCTCACCTGGAAATTGAGGATAATAATAGCACCTGCCTCCCAAGGTTGTTGTAAGGATCAAGTGACATAGTTGTAAAGCCATAGTAGGTAGGCATTATATAAATGTTAGCTATTATTATATGGTAACATAAAGAAGTAGATTCCAAAATTATACACCCAGATATGGGGTACAGGTACAGTAATAGAAGGAAGAATTGGATCCCTGACAGATCCTTAAACCAATCAAGAAGGCTTAGGAACCAGGAAGGTCAAGGAGTTCTAGGTCTCCAGCTAAAGGCCAAGAATCAGAAATTCTAGGTCAGGTCTAGAAATTAATAAAAGACAAAGCCCTGGGGACAAAGGCAAATGAGGACTTGGAATGTTCAGGAAGCTAACTGGGATCAGCAAGGCCTTGGGCCCGGGCTCAAGTCTTTTATTGGGTGGATAGGAAAACCTAACAATCATCCCAGACACCCCAAGGATGGGAACAGGGAGAGGATATGTGTGATTTAGAGGAAGAAACCAAGCTCTGGTCTTGGCTTAGACATACCCTGGACACACTCAGTTTATTTTATGCCTTGTTTCTTCCCCAGAGAAAAAGCAAATAGTGATGGTTACCACCCTATCCCACCCCTGCCTTAACCTACCCCTGCCTTCCCATTTTCCCATCATCCTAATAGTTTCAGGCTTTTGTAGAAATGTTAATAATAGCACTTAGTTAGCACGTTATGGTTTACAAACTCTGTATCTACGATCTTTCTTGGTCCTCACAACCAATCCATGTAGTAAGTTGGGCAAATATTATCCCCATTTCACAGATGAAGAAACTGAGGACAAAAAAAAGATTAAATGACTTGCCCCCTGGTCATACAGTTGGAGCCAGAACTCCACCATGATTTCAAATCCCACTCTCTTTCTTCTATACCAAAAGACTAGACAGAAGAAGGAAGAGAAAGGATGTTGAGACAGCTCTGGCATTATAGATTAAACAGTGGACCCCAAGCTTGGAACCTAGCTATGTGACCATAGGCAAGTCATTTCCTCTTTGGGAACCTCAGTTTCATTCTGTATAAAATGAAGGGGGTGGGCCAGATGAACTCTAAGGTCCCTTCCAGCCTATTAAAAGGGAAGGGGGTGGGGGGACAAGGCTGTGGAAGTGTTTACACTGTCTTTCCCCTTATGTCTCCTCTTCCTGCATCCTGGAGCAGGTGGTGAGCCAGATAGACAAGCTGACCTCCGATTTTGACTTTGAGCTCGAGCCTGACGATTGGACAACAGCCACGGTCAGCAGCACATCTAGCAGTGAGAAAGGCGGCGGAAGCGGCCCCTTCGACCTGACCCACCTGGATTTCATGACCTCAGACATCCTCTCTGACAGCTGGGAATTCTGCTCTTTCTTGGACATCTCAACCCCTTCAGACTCAGGCGAGGTCCCTGAGCCAGCCCGACAGCCTCCCACCCCTGACTACAGGTTGATGAATGGAGGCGTGCTTATCCCCAATGGGCCCCGTGTTGAGACTCCTGACTCTTCTAGTGAGGAAGCCTTCAGTTCTTGTCCCCCTGAACCCCCCAAGGGTCAGCAGGCCCATCGGACCCCGGGCACCAGGGAGCGGGTGCGTTTCAGTGACAAGGTGCTCTATCATGCCCTCTGCTGTGATGATGAGGAAGGAGAGGGGGAAGAAGAAGAGAAAGAGGATAGGGGAGCCCCATCCCCCAACCCCCCCCAGACAGAGCCGCATGTGGCACCCCTCAAACCTCCCCTGGCATCCTGCAAGCCACGGAGGTCTCCCCTCACAAGCCGGAATGGGAGTCATATCCCTACACTCACCCCAGGGTCAGGGCAGACCCGAAGGGTCACACGGAACACCAGCACCCAAACGGTGTCGGACAAAAGTACCCAGACTGTCCTGCCGTATGCAGCAACCAGGCAGAAAGTCAAAGGGAAAAACTGAGAGGAGCAAAAGGGATGGGGGTGGGGATGGGGTGGGCAGGTGGGGAAATAGATACACATATATATTTAAACAAATCCAATCATAATAAAACAAAAAACAAAAATGGTAAGGAAAAGGTCATAAGAACTCCCCAAACTTGTCATCCAGACAGGGCTAGCCTTACCTATAGGCAGAGTGGGTGGTTGCCTACAGGGTCTGACATGAGCACCTTAGCAAAAAACCACCCCCAGCCTGCCACAGTGCCTGAAATGTCCCCATTAGAGCTACCTCGATTTGGGTCGAGCATTGCTCCTCTCTTACACTGAATACCTCCATGGGAGGGGGAGTCTTCAGTCCCTCCTACCTCAGGGGGAATTACTTTGTTTGATGTTTTAATCTGGAGCAAGAGACAATGCTAGCTCAAGAACTGTGGTACAAATAGGAGAAGATGGGATGCAGACGCTGGAAAGGATCAGAGCCAGGGCCCAGACACAGCTTTTTCCAACTTCCCAGTTTCACCATCTGTTAACAAAGTAGGGCTGTGGTTCCTTACCCGCAGCTGGTAGGGTCAAGATGGCTACACAACCCCTGGATCCTACTGAGAATGCCCCTTAGATTTGGGGTGATATTGGAGCCACCCTTCTCATGGGTTATCGATTTCAAGCTTAAAGGGACTCATCATTACTTAATATTTGTATTTAATTCCAAACCGTCATTTTACAGATGAGGTAACTGAGGCCCAAGGTCACAGCTACTTTAGTGGCAGGGCTGGGAGGAACTCAAACTCCTAAGTCCAGCGATCTTTCTACTAAACCCCTTCAACTTCAACTTCCGGGCTCTTGCAAAGTCTGTTCCTGGCGCAGCTAGGTGGTACAGTGGATAGAGCATTGGCCCTGGATGCAGGAGGACCTGAGTTCAAATTCAACCTCATGTACATAACACTTAGGAGCTGTGTGACCCTGGACAAGTCACTTAACCCCATTGCCTAGCCAAAACAAGGTCTATTCCCCAGCTCAATTAATCCCTGATCAGCCTCAGGAACACTGGGTAAGGATAGGGTTGGACACCTATCATTTTCTAGTGTATTGTCTCTCCCATTTTAGTTTAAACTCCCCTGACAAGTGCATTAGATGTTTCTCTCCTTGTCTGGAGGGACCTAAGCCCCTCATGGAAGGAAGAGGACAATTGTTTCCCTCCATGGGCTGGGAAGGGGGGGGCTCAATTTGCTTTGCAGAGCTAGAGAATCTTACGTGAAACTATAAGCAAATACAGGGGTGAAAAGAAAGGGAAGATATGTCATCAAAAATATCTTAGAGGACATCTAATTGAATCTCCTCATTTTAAAGATGAGGAAACAGGCACAGAGCTATGAAGTTTGCCCAGTGGCACACTGCTTACAGTAAGTATTTGAGGTAGAATTCGAACCCAGATCTTCCAGAGTCCAGAGCTCCCTCCACTATACCATCACCCTTCAAATGGTCTTTTGCAGGGGACCTAGGGTGCTGGATTTCTGTTTAACTTTGACTTCAGGGCAAAATCTATTCCCCTTGGTTTGGACTATAGGTCATTGAAGGGGAGGATATGCTCCCCCACATAGCTTCACGACTTCAGACTATCTCACCCACAGAAAATAACTACCTGGATTTGTCTCTGAACTGAACACATCTCTCCACAAATTTCCCCAGGACTCCCAGATTCATTCCTCTGGTGCCAAGAAATATGGTTGCTGACGTGGCATTGGGAAATTTTAGGAGAGAAGGCAAAAATATAGGGAAGCGGAAAAGAAAGCTGCTGGTAGTAAGGTCAGCAAGGCTTTCTGAACAATAGAGCAATTAATAATAACAGCTGGCATTTATAGAGTGCTTTAAGATTTGTGAAGAACTACAAATATTAGTTTTATTTGAACCTCATAACAACCCTGGGAGGTAGGTGCTATTATTATCCCCATTTTACAGATGAGGAAACTGAGGCAGACAGAGGTTAAGTGATTTGCCCAGGGAAACACATCTAGTAAGTGTATGAGGCCAGATCTAAATTCAGGTCTTCTTGACTCTAAGTTGAGCGCTCTATCCACTGTCTCTGCTTGTATTGTTCAAAATAATTTGTGAGTAGTATGAGGCTTGTTTCCTCCTGAAAATAAGCTACTTTCCATGAGAAAGAAGGGTTCCCCTTTAAGAAGAGTAGAGGATTGGGGGAGGGGTGGAGAGGAGGAGGAAGAAGAGAGAGATGACAAGCTACCTGTCTTGAAGTATTTGAAAGATTGTCGTATGGAAAGAGGGATGAGATTTGTTCTGTTCGGCTCCAAAGAGCAAAATCAGGAAAGCTGGGTGGAAGGCAGAAGGAAGTAAACTTAGGTTTAACCTGCTGGGATGACTTGCTAGCAATCAGAGACATAATTGCAATAATAACACATTTATATATAACTTTCATATTTATCTCATTTGAGCCTCACCACAACCCTGTGAGGGAAATACTATTAGGATCTCCATTTTACAGGTGAAGAAACTGAGGCTCATAGAGTTGAAGTGGTCAGCTTGCCCAGGTTGACACAGCTAGTAAGACTTGCTGCCTTCAAGTCCAGCCCTCTGCTCTGATCCAAAAGTGGAAGGAGATGTACAGGATTTACTCTTGCTGGAGGGCTATTGTTAGGTGTGATTACTAGGGATTCTTTTGGGGATTCCTTCCAACTCTAGTGATCCATAGTCATGGGACTGGAAGTTGAGCCTTGATGAGCCCAAGGATGAATAAAGGCCATCTTACCCACCCAGGCTGATTGTACCTAAGGCAGGGTGGCATGGCTCCTAAAATCTACCCAGCCCTCTTAAGGAAAAAACAAAATAGGGGCAGCTAGGTGGTGCAGTGGGTGGAGCACCGGCCCTGCAGTCAGGAAGACCTCGGACTAGACTTGGTAGTAACTTGACAGTTACTAGCTGTGTCAGCCTGGGCAAGTCACAACACCAAGTGCCTCACCAAATAAAATAAAATTAAATTTAAAAAAGAAAAAAAACAAAATAAAACAAAACTGGGATAACAGACGCCCACCAAACTGGGCAAGTTGAACCCTACTAGGGAGCTTCACTGTGTGAACAGCCTCCGCTTAAGACAGACTTCTTGAGTGCTCTTAGGATCTTTTCAATGAGGGTCATGCGAATGACCTCCAGCCCTGGTCACAGACTGAACCCTAACCAGAGCTATAGATTGACTCTTAATTTGGTCATTAAACTAGCTGCCCATTCTGGTCACAGACTGAACATAAACTGGCCCCATACTGACCCCTAAACTTCCTAACTAATCCTTAGGAAGTGGTGAGATAAAGAAGAAGAATTCTGGATTTGGAGTCAGGGGACATGGGTTTGAATCCTGATGTCACTACTTATTTGCCTATGTGATCTTGAACAAATCTCCCAGTCTCAGCTGAGGGCCCCTTCCCCCTGTAGTACCTTTCAGCTCAAAATACATGATTCTTTGACCCTCAACCTTGTCAACAGACTAATTCCTAACCAAAGTCACAGATTGAGTCCTAACCTTGGAACAAGACTTACCCTGAATATCAGCCCCACATTCACCCTCAACCCTCTCCACAAACACCCTCAGTCTCAACTACCCTCATTCATTGCCTGACTGCCACTTCAAGACAATTACTCGACAGCTGTCTCACGAATGTCCTTAGTCTTAAAGCGGATTGGATGAGAATTTAGGTGACTCAGTGCTACCCCCTCCCCTTTGTGGATTCGCTAGAGGAAAGACTCAGGATCTTTCTGATTTGACTGCAGTACTAAAACGAGCACAAGAAAGACTGGGATTTGGCCCAAGGGGCTGGAATCTGAAGGGATGGTGCCCTTCAGTGGCTGCAAACAGCTGAGCTTCACACCTAGTTAGGGAGAACAAATGGGGGAAATAGGAAGCTTCTAGATGGCAGCTTTCCTCCCACCAAGGCTCATCCTCACAATGTCCAGCTGTGCTCCCCTCCTTCCAAATAAATGGAGGGTACTTATTATGCAACTTACCCCAGGTACAAAAGCTGCTAGTTAATGCTTCTGGGGATTATCAACATCACTATAAATACAGGACAGAATCTGCCCCTTTCCCACCCACTACAAACCACACTCATCCTCCTCCCTCTCTAACTCAGCCCCCAGCCTCTAAATTCCTACAGAACTTCTGGTCTCAGCCACTGCCTGCCCTTCGGTCAGACCAAGTAACAAACTTCTGTAATTGCTCCTTCTGTATAACTCCTGTCTCCCTGCCTTGCTAGAGGTTGAAATCCCTATAACAGGGATTGTGTCTTCTCCTCCTGTCACCACCATGGTGTCTGATCCAAAGCTAGGGGATCCAGGGGGCTTCTTTAAAGACCTGACATGAACTGTGTACAATAGAACTCAGGAGTAGTCCCTGTCCCTGAGGAGCTCAGTTTCCCAAAATGACCTGAGATCTCATTTAATCCCTGAGACTAATTTTCAAGTCAGTTCAATTGAACTGTATATGTTACTATACTGTACAACTGGAATATTCAAAAATGAAAAACAGGTGCCCATAAGGGGCAGCTAGGTGGCACGGTGGATAGAGCACCGGCCCTGAAGTCAGGAGGACGTGAGTTCAAATCCGGTCTCAGACCAGAGACTTGACACTTACTAGCTGTGTGACCCTGGGCAAGTCACTTAACCCCAAATGCTTGGCAAAAAAAAAACACAGGTGCCCTCCTTGTTCTCAAAGTATTTACAGTCATGGGCATAAGACATGTACAGTCATAACTATAGCACAAAATAAAAAGAGCAGAGATGTGAAAAATAAGGTTGGAAGAAGGATCGCCTCTACCTGAGACAATCAGAGAAGTCTTCATGGAAGATATGGTACCTGATCTAGCTTTGGAGGATGGGTAGGATTTCAAAAGGCAGAGTTGTGGAGGAAGTCTATTTCAGATACGGGTCAGGGAGATCCTTGGATAAATGCAAGAAAGCAAGAGAGAGTAAAATAGCCAGTAGTATAGTTTTGCCAAAATGTGGTGTGTATAAAATGGAGTCCTATGAGATAAGTCAAAGGCCTTGAATGCCAAGTTAAAGAGGTTGTATTTTGTTCTCCACTGGATACCTAAACTGAGGAATAAACTGATTGGAGAAGTATATGAGAAAGATTAATTTGGGGTCAGGGAATGAGTGAATGAATGAATGAATGAAAAGCACTTCTCAAGCACTTGCTTTATGTCAAATATTAAGTATACTACTATAAAAAGTAAGGCAATGCCTACCTTTAAGAAGCTGACATTTTAGTAGGGGAAGACAGCACACATAAGGGGAATGGCAGCCAGGATGGGATGTTTTGGTTAGACCAGTCACAGGAAAGCTGAGTGGAGCTAGATGGGGATTAAATGACACCCTCTTTCCAGAACCAGTGGGAGCATTGATTACTCTCCTCAAAGCAAGAGGCAGAAAGTGTATAGGAGGAGACAGTGGGACAGGGAAAGAGTGGTCAGCATGGTGGCAGGGCTGACAGCATTTCAGAGACTAGAGTCGGGGAAAACAGGCAAAAAAAATCATTGGAACAAAGAATGCAGAAGAGATCTAGAGGATAAGAAGGACATACATCTATCTGCAGAAATGAGGTATGAATCTGAGGTTCCTTTCATGACACCCTCAGCCAGCAAACATATCTAAATTAGGAAGATGCCAGGCAAACTGAACTTCATGTCTTCAGTATAATAATACCAAATTTAGCACTTGGCTTTTATGTTTAATTGCTGTGGTTGAAGAAGTGATCTTTCCCTTTCCAAACCAGTATTTCTAACCCACTAGGAGATAGATAGATAGATAGATGATAGATAGATAGATAGA